CCTTTAGCTTCTTCTTGGTCACCAGCTCACTCACAGACTTGGCCTGAACCTCAACTTCCTTGAAGGCATATTTTGGATCGAAAAATTTGCTGTCAATTTTATCTGGGGCCAGGTATCCTTGGAGACAGTGGAGGATCAGAGACGTCAGCACATACCTCCTGCCCACTTCCACCAAGCACCCTTGCCCCTCACACCTGCCCCCAGTCCCCTTCCCCCTCCCCCCTGCTCACCTTGGCACACAACAAAGATCTCAGCTGACTCATTACGGGAGGCCTGTGGTTTGGTGGCCTGCACTTTGTGGAAGAACTGCTGGAAGATCCAGAGCAGGGGCTGGTAGTCACGGGAGCGGAAAACCTTGGTGATGAACCAGCCACCTTTGCAGAGGAATTCGCAGGCGAGCTTCAGGGCCATGAGTGTCAAATTGGCTGAAGTGTGGAACGGAGAGAGGGCAGGAGTCAGCTCTTCACCTAGTGCCCAAAGCCTCCACTCTCCAGGCTCCCCAAACTCAGAGATAGGGCAGCCTCTGCCCTGTGGAAGGGGCTCTGACTAGATTTTGGTGCCAACGGCAACCAGTGCTGTGGTAACCCAGGGACGCATCAGGGCAGGGAGGCCAGCTTGGGCCAGGATTCCACTCAGGGCTTGAACGGGGCAGGGGGAGGTGGCACACCTGGGTCACATAGCTTTGTCATAGTGGGAAGCCTGTAACATGCCCATGGGAGCAAAGACCTCCTACCAGTTCACTGTCTGAGGACACATGGCCCACAATACTGTGCAGCACAGGGTGGGTTGCCCAATCCCTCTGACCCAAGCCACTGAGCAGGACTAGAACCACTGACCACAGCTCAGGGGTGCATGTTTAGAGTGGACTAAATCCCTGGCCCCTGTGGAGATAAGGGCTGCCACTGAGCTCAAGGGGCAGAGAAGAGCCCTGTCCAGGACAGAGGAGCCTGTGGGGAGGGACATACCTTGAGAGTAAGCATCGTGCACCCAGCTCGCCCCCACGTTGGGGGCCCCATCGTTAAGTACCACATCTACCTTCCATGTCTTCAGCTCCTTGCGCAAGACCTAAGGAGGTGAGAGAGCATGATAAGCCTGGCTTGTCACAACTCCCACTTGGAGCATCCTGGGGTCCCAAGCTCCAGCACACCATGTCACCCTGCTCCCTATGCAGCACCCAGAGGCCAAGAGTCCTACCTCTCTGTACATCCTAAACCCAGGCACTGATAAATCCCTACTCCCCAGCTAGGAGAGTCCAGGTTGCGTCTGGGGATTCCTGCCCCAGACAGGCCCCTGGAGCACGTGTGTGAGATGTCCTTCCCCCACCCATATGCAGTGCCAAGCTGGGCAAGTCATGCTAAACCATCAGACCACTGGGTTGCAGCTGGCCCAGCAGGCAGAACTGTTACCTGACGGCATTTCTCCGTAGTTATGTCCTCCTGGAGCGTCACCACATTGGGGATGGGCTTGATGGGAACCAGATCCACCCCTAGTAACAAGAGAGTGCCAAGGAGATCAGCACTTGCTGGAACCCAGTCCTGTTCCCAGAGGGGCATCCCAGTCCACCACAGCAATGCCTTCCATATACCTCTGAGGGTACAGCAACAACCAGCCCCAGCCAATACCCACCCCTTCGACCATTAGGAACAGCAGTGTTCCCTTCCTAGCAGCCCCCAAAGGCACCCCTTCTCTCCTCAGCCTACTCCCCACAGACATCTTGCCCCTGCCTTCCCCCACAAGCCAGTGCACATGCTCCCCCACCTCACTCACCGATAATAAGACTGGAAACCGGCATAAATTTGGAGGCCACTTGCAGCCTGTGGAGAGCAGAAAGGGTCAGAAAGCCCCACTCTTGTACCATAACTTTCTGCATGAAGGCTCTTCTCAGCCTCCATCTCAAAGGAGATGAGCTGCATGTAATTAACTTCAGCACCCAGCACACACCTTGTGATCCCACCCAGGAGGGCCTGTCTGAGCACGCACCTCTCAGAAAAGGATACAGAGCTGCATTCCCAGTGGCCAAGAAAGGCATAAGGCCCAGAGGGGCTCCCAAGTGTCACCCTTCCCTACCTGGCATGGGACAAAATGTCCAGGACAGAGAACAGATCCGAGCAGGGAACCGCTGTTCACTGCAAAGTGATGCCAGCCCAAGCCATACTACTTTGGCTGAAGACAAGTTGTTCCAGAGGGGCTGCACACGCACAGAGCCACAGGGAGACAAGGCCTCCCCTTTGAGGACACTGTGCAGAGTGCACAGGGGCCATCTGGACCAGTGCCTCCCAGCACAGGCTAGGATTCCGAACAGCCTACAGCTTGCCAGCGACTAACTGCTCTTGGAGCTGACCTCTCTGAGAAGCTTGCTGAGGGACCCTGGGCATGACATCTCCAGCACCCTTGTAGCCTGAGCCAGAGGCAGTACTGAGCTAAGACTTGCCAGGGAAGTCCCCTAACTGTAGGGAATGGACAAGACTTGTCCCTGCCTAGAGAACACTGAGCCACTCAATTTCAGCTCATGACTTGGTTGCCCAGACTCTGAGGCAGTCAGGGCTGCAAATCAATCTGAGCACAGACAGCTTGAACCAAGAACCATGTGGGCCAGGCTCTGGGTTTTTCCAGGGCCCTGATCAGCCTGGAACTTAGATGTGAGCAGGCTGGCTGTAGCTCCCACCAGGACACTCCTGTAGCTCACAATCCAGTGGCAAGCAGGAGGGCCCTCTAACTCACCATCCCCCAGGGGCTGCACACAAGTCCACCAGTGCCCGGGCTTTCTGCAGGAACTGGAACTTCCGGTTGAGCTGAATCAGCTTGAAAGAGGATCGGGAGCGAAACCCTAAAGGAAGAAGGGGTGGGGTAAAAAAAAATTAAAAAAAAAAATCAGAGCCCTCCCAAGAGCCTGGGATATCCCAAACAGACACTCTGCAGCAACAAAGGGTAGGAGAGGGCAATCAGTGCCCATTACTTACTCTGAAGCAGGCACAAGGAGCCCATTACTTACACTGCAGGCACAAGGAGTACAAAAAAATGGCCAACATGGAAGTAACAGTGACTTGGGCAGGCAGGCAGGGGGCCGTGGCCTGACCTGGCCTGCCACCAAGGAAACACAGAGGTCCTGGTGGGCAGTTATGCCAAGGAAGATCCACCAGAACAACTCCACAGACAGATGGGGCCAGCTTCTCATCCCCACTCACCAGTTTCCTTCGCCAGGTGGTAGAACTTGTCCCGTCGGCTCTTCCCAACTTTGCCTTTCTTGCCCATGCTGGTGGGTGAATGAGTCTGCGCCGGGGCTCACCTCAGGGATGCAGGGTGATCCCTGTGACTAGTGCCAGAAAGCAATGGAAATGTCTTCTGCAGAGAAAGGAAAGGCAGCAGCAGGCTGAAGACAGGTAAAATAGCCCCATATTGACTTTGAGTGCCCCAAAGTCCTCAGAAGCAAGACAATCACTGCAACACTTCATCTGGGCTGGGGGCAAGGGAGCACAGGCCTGAACTACAGATTAGAGAGGAAATGATCACATCACTCTACCCTCAGCCCCACATCCTGCCCCTGAAGCTAGACCTACCCCCCCAACCACACCATGAGAAACCTTCAGGTGCTCTGAACCTTGTAGCAGGACTACAGAAAACCATCATACAACTCATTAACAGGATATACACAGGTCTCTTTCAAGTGTTACCATCAACTCCAAGAGAAACCCCATGCCGAGTCTGCCAGTCCCCTACGGCAGTAGCAGCTGAAGACAGTTGGCACCACATCATCCCAGCTGCCAAAGTAAAGAAAAAAAACTCCAATGCCACTTGGTGCCATCTGCTGCCTGTATTGCAGTCATTAGACTGAAGGCACCTCTCATTAAACTAAAGGCCCCCTCAAAAATTGCCCCCTCTCAGTGTTCACTCTTTTTTTTTTTTTTTTTAACCACAGAGTAATACTGGAACAATTATTCTGTTGCAAAGAACTGGGAACACCTTCAATGGGACAGAATAGTTTTAATTCATGGGTTCCTGCTTAAAATGCCTGGGTTTACCCTGCGAATCACATTTATGCATCTAACAGTGCTAACCTTGCCACCCAGGGCAACTATGAAAGGACCTCAAGGCCACAGCCCCTATCCAAACACCCCAGACAGTCAGGACTAGATGCCAATTGGCCAGAACATAAAAAAAAGCAAGCCAGGCTCACAGCAGCAGAGCAAACCTCGGGACAGAGCCAATCCAGCCTGCTGGAGCCAGAGGATGTGGACATGGCATCTCTAGCACTAAACCTTTCCCTTACAAACGCCTCTCCTTACCCCTCTGCTTATGATTTGCCTCTGCCCCTAGTTGCTCCCCGGCCGCCCCCTGCCCCTCGACTCTTCCCCCACAGCCCAAGGGGAGACATTGCAAGGGAGCTGCCAGGCAACCTCAAAGGCGGGGCGGGCGCTTCACTCCCCGCTTCCTCCCCTTGCATCAGGACCACCGACCCCAGCTACGGCAGCCCACGCGGCCACGCCGTACCAGGCGGGCAGGCCTCGAGGAAGCGGGGCTGGGGCAGTCTAGACCCTGCAGGAGACTGGAAAGTTCAGAACCCGACCAACCAGCCCCAATCCCACTCACCAGCGCCCAGACAGCCCCGGCTCCCACGTGCGCCCCCCGCACTTCCGCCGCCAGGCCGGCGATCAGATGCACTTCCGCTTCCGGTACAAATTTCTCCCTCCGCCATCTTGAGAGTGGCGCCCAGCCTTTAACCGGCTTTGACGGCGCGCGCGGGAGTTGGACTGAGAGTACACCCTGTGCGCAGAGAGCGGGCTAAGGTTCTCAGTGGGAGGCTGCCTTTCCGTCTAGGCCTTACAGCAGACCCTACCAAGATGGCGGCTGAAAAGGGCGGCGCGCACAGGACGAGCCATCTACAACAAAGCTGTCCTACCGCGCATGCGTGTCCCGAGAGCGCGTCACTCAGTGTTTTCTTTCCGGCGCCAGTCCGCTCGCGGACAGGAAGTAGTGTAGGGGGAATGTTTCGCCCTTTGCGCGTGCGCACCAACGGCAGGAGAAGTGAGGGCGGTGGCCATTTCTGGTGTGGGCAAGCGCTCGGGCCTTCATTGCCGCCCTAGTGAGCTGCTTCGATGCCGGCCGAGAAGATGGCGGTGGACGGGCCCGAGCAGGTGAGGCCGTGCAGGGCCAAGCCGTACTGCGACACCGCGGGGACCGCCGCGTCCTGCCCCCGAGGCCAGGGAGGAGCGGGAGGCTGCGGGGCCGGCCTCGTGGTGCTGAGTCATGGCGGCCGGAGTGAGGGGTAGTACCGCGAGGCCCCCGGCCTGCCCCGTGCCAGTCCCGCGGGGCTCCCGGGAAGACGTCCCGCTTATAGCGCTCGGGCCCAGACAGCCAGCACGTTTATAGCACGCTCGGGCCCGACAGGCGTGTTACACTTGTGGAGCGCTCGGCGCGCCCCGGCCGGCAGACGGGACAGTCGCGGTCTGGCACATGTAACATTCGTGGCACAATTCAGGGCAACCGGCCCTGCCTCCCCTTCCTGGTCAGTGGGGCTGAACAGCCCCACGTCCTCTCAGGGGAGCGGTGCTCAACCCTGTTGCCTCCCCACCCAGATGCACTCGTCCAGTCCAGCACGCAGGGCCAGCCTGTTCACGGGTCTGTGAATTTGGTGGCTGGGGAGCTGCACTGTCAGCGCCACCACTGCACAGTGGGGAGCCGAGCGGGCTGCATGGTGCGACTCCGTGGGCCAGGGGTTGTACAGCCCTGGTGTGATGGCAGTGGTTGTCACCCAGGTGCTGCGCTACCCTGGGGGGCCTTGGAATCCGGTCGGGGTGCAATGAGGAGGCACTGTTAGGTGTGTGAAGAGGACTGACAAGATAAACCTGAAGATTTCCCATAGGAAACCGTGTCCTCCCTTTTGCACTCTTTCTGAGCTCTTTCCAAGTAGAAAGATTGCTCAGTTATTTGCTTGTTGCCAAAAATGGGTGAAAAGCAAGCTGGCGTTTTCCTAGGGGTGCCTGGAGCCTATCAAGGTTGAGAACCGCTGTGACATAGGATGCCTTCAAGCCTGGCTTGTTCAGCACTACATTTTGACCATGGGATGTGTTGCTGTGAGGACGTGTAGACCCTTTGTGGCAGCAAACTCCATCCCCATGGCACTGAGACTGTTGATTGCCCCCACCAGGGAATAGGGCCCTGGCGCCCTGCTCCAGCTGTCACTCTGTGGAGCCCTGAAGCTCCCTTTCCCCCAAGTCCCTGATGCTCCCTTCATCCTGCTTTTCCCCTTTTCCTCATCTTCCACCTTGCTCCAAACCCCTTCCCAGTTCAACGCCGGGCCTAGGGGCTACTCTTCTTCCTGCCTTGCTTCCCCCAATGCTGCTGTGCTAGGGGCAAAACGGTCCCCTGGAGGAGGTGGAGAGCACCGTGGTATTAATGGGCTCTGCTCTCTTCCCCTGCCCCATGGACATGCTGGCAGAGCCATTGGGTCCTCACTTGGGCATAGGTGGGATGCCCTGATTGAAAGGGGGCGTCTGGGCATACAAGGAGCAGAGGAACAGTTGGGGGAGGGTTTCGGAGACTGTATCTGTCCCACGGGTGTGTTACTGTGTGGTGGGACCTGCTGCCTCCAGGCACAGCTCTTTTTGGAACAAAGCTCTCCGCTTCCTGCCACGAGTCTGGCCTTTTTCTGTCGGGCTGTCTGAGGTGCTTTCCTGGGCTGACATGCATGTTCTGTCATGTTTTCTTGGCAGATGGAGATGGATGAAGGCAAAGGAGGGACAGGCCTCCGCCAGTACTACTTGTCGAAGATTGAGGAGCTGCAGGTGAGCTGCAGGGGTCGTGTTTTCACTAGGTCGTGTTTTCTGCAGCAGGGACCGTGCTGTCCCTCTGCTCTTTTTGTATAGTACTTCCAACTAGCCCAGCTCCTGCCCCTTTCCCCCCTGCCAGTGGGGCTGGAGGCTCAGGACCACTCCCTATTTCACAATCCTGCCAGGATAGGATAGGAGTGCTGCTGGCCAGCAGGCAGCACCAGGAACCCCTCCCTGGGGGAGGAGTTTCCATTTGGCAATAACCCTTTGAAGTGAGCTGACCTGCTGTCCAGGAAGGTAGTCTAGTTCAGTGCAAAGCAGCACTACCTCAGGCTGGTGGGGCGGGTAGTAAGTGGCCAAATCCAAGGGTCCTAGCCAAGTGTCCATGAATTGTTTGGCGGAGGTGTCCCTGCCCCAGTGATGTGACCTCCCAAAACCTCCAAAGCCAGTGGCTTGCACATGAAGGGCTGTGGCCTGCAAGTTAGGGTGAGTCCTTCCCAGCTGTTGTGCCAGGCTGGTTTTCAGGACAAGGCTCTGGCAAGAGCTGGGCAGAGAGTGCAAAAGCCATTGTGCTAGACCTGAGGAGCTTCCCCTTGAGAAGGACCTAGGGTGGGTAAAAATCAGTGTTTTCATTGTTCTCCCAGATCCTGGTACACACCTCTTATATACTTACAGGCTGCTGCCAAGTTCCCCCTGAGCCTTCCTTCTCCAGGCTGTAGAGTCCCATGTCCCTCAGCCTGTCTTTGTAAGGCTTACTGTCTTGGCCTTTGATTGTGAGATAACATCCTTGTTAACAGCAGTATATGGAGATGAGAGAGAACAGACCTGATTACTTACCCATCAGCTCTATTGTTTCTCTGCAAGTTTGTGTACACAGAGTCAAGCCCTTACCTCTCCCTAAAAGTGCAAATTTTCAAGAAGTAAAATGAATAGAAGAGTGTTGGGGGTGGAGTAGATCTGGGCAAGGAGGAGGAGTTTGAAGATAAATGCAAGAAGGGAGGGGCAGTAGAAACAAAAGAGAAACATTTTGAGCAGAATATTCTAGAAGTCTTGAGGGATAAGTTTCTGAGTATAGCCTCTCCACTGATTTGAGATTTAGTGAGGTAATGGTATGGTAGAAGGGTTGACCTGTCGTGACAGCAGGCTTGCCAGGCTGCAAAAGAGAGAAGGAATCAAAGATGAGAAGAAATCTAGAAGAAAGTGAAGAAAGCCCCAAGCTAATAACATGGCTGCAGACCTCATTTGATGTCCTCCTAATACAGTGTGGCAAAAATATCCTCCAAATATCCATGATATAGTGAATTGGAGATAGTTCACCTCCTAATGACTTCACAGGCATTTGCTTCAATTAGCTTTGAAATCATAATTCAATTTTTTGAAAAAATTCCAAAATAATTCACTGCTTTAACATGTATAGTGTGTACCTTCTAAAAATGAAACGTACATCTATTGCTAAGTTGTAATGTGTATTAAGGCTATATCAAACAAGAAGGCACTTTTTGTGGAAAACAATAATTAAAATGAGGCTTCCTGCTCAGTGATTTAAATCAAATCCACCCTGAGAAGGACCCCTTTAACTTGCTCTTCCTGTGTGGGTGCTATTTGTGCCCAGACTGGTCTCACACAGGCTCCTGCTGGCAGCTTCAGTTGACATATCATCTGAGCTGCTGCGCTCTAGTGGAGGCACTTGGGCAGGGCTGACCATTTTGGGCTGGTAAGGGCTTATACCTTGTCCTTCCTCTCCAAAGCTGATTGTGAATGAGAAGAGCCAGAATCTCCGCCGTCTGCAAGCGCAAAGGAATGAGCTGAATGCCAAAGGTATGGGTTTCTTTGACCTTCCCCTTCCAGCTACTGGGGAGCTGCCTCCTGCCAGGCTCCCTGCATTGCCTCCCACTCGATAATATTGAAAGTGAAATCGCTGGTGAACTGAGACCCAACACAGAGTTGTTGTGTGCTCTGTAGGTATGGACCCTCCCCGGCCATCTTGGTCTGTTGGCATCCAAGCTTTGCGGCCTCTTTATTTCCACTGCAGTACAGATGCTCCCCTCCACCCCATAGACTGTCTCGTCCAGCCACAAAGGAATGTGTTGGCTGAGGTTCTATGCTAGCCCACACTGGCAGGAGAGCATGGCAGCAGCTGGGTAGGCAGTAACAGTGGCTGGAGAACCCCTGCCCTGGAAGGCCTGTCCTCTGTATGGTCCCAGTTAAGAACCATTGAAGCCCTGCCAGCCCTTCATACAGTATTAAAATCTCTTATTCCATTGCAGTGCGCCTGCTGCGGGAGGAGCTGCAGCTGCTACAGGAGCAGGGCTCCTACGTTGGCGAGGTGGTGAGAGCCATGGACAAAAAGAAAGTGCTTGTGAAGGTACAGAACTGGGATGCTGCTTCCTGGGGCTGATTGGTGCCTACTGCTGGCCTTGGGCCCCAATGTAATTGCATAGAGGCCTGGGTTCCTGGGGCAGGGGACTGCACTCTTGACCTACATACTGCTGTAGAGTGGGCCCAGCAGGGCACCATGGTCCTACAGCACAGCTGTTGGCCTTCCCTGGGCACATCTTAGGAAGCTGGTGGGCTTGCTCTGGGGAAACATGTGACCACTGGGGTTCGCCTCTGGAAAGGGTCTGCAGGGGAAGGCGAGGCAGACTGGGGGATGCTGGTGCACTGCAAATCCAATACTAAAGTAGTGGCTAGAGCAGCAAATCTGTCCCTCCATCCCATGGTAGGAAGAGCCATGGGGAAGAGGGTGACAGAGCTATCTGTGAGTGCTGACTCCCAGGGGAGAGGGAAGCTCCTCAAGGTGGCCTGTGGAGGTATAGCTTGGAAGAACAGGATGAAACTAAGGGGTTGGCTCAGATTTCTGAGAACTTCCTACCAGAGGGTTCTCTTGAACTGAGAAATCATCTCCTGGGAGCAGGGCTGGAGGCCTGAGGGCTGGGAGGTCACCATGAGATGGGAAAGGTGTTAGAAAATGGGTATCCAGGAGCAGGGTTCCTCAGAGCTTCACGGGGCGTTGCTGCAGTCATCCTTCTGGCATCAGACTGCAAAGTCCCCAAAGAAAAGTCAGACCAGAACATCCTGAGAGCTGTCTAAGTTATGATCAACCTCTGCCCCTAGAGCTGCCTTGCAGGTTGTGGTTGTGTGGGAAGAGCCCATGAGTGGGCAGTGAAGGCCTGTACCTGGACTAATCTTGCCCTGAACTTGCTAAAAATCTTTGTCTTTTGGGTCCCACCCTAGGGCCTTGCCCTTTGGGGAGGAAACTGTGCCCAGAGGCCTCAGCTGCACTCAGCCAGTGACTCATCTGTTTCAGGTCCACCCGGAAGGGAAATTTGTGGTAGACGTTGATAAAAACATTGACATCAATGATGTAAGTATTGGGACCCACATGATGGGAGCCCTGCAGGTCTGGAGTGGTATGGCATGGCAGCAGCCACTCTCCTTGTACTGCAGTCCCTAACCTGCCAGCATGCTGCACAGGAGGCTGCGCCCTTCTTGTGCACTTAGTGCAGCTCTGTTTGCTGCAGCCCCATCCAGCAGCTTGCTGGGGGGTGGGTTCTGCTTTTAGACCTTAGCTCGTGTCCTCTTCTCCAAAGGTGACCCCCAACTGCCGCGTGGCACTGCGGAATGACAGCTACACTCTCCACAAGATTCTGCCTAACAAGGTGGACCCCCTTGTGTCCCTCATGATGGTCGAGAAGGTCCCTGATTCCACCTACGAGATGATCGGAGGCTTGGACAAGCAGATCAAGGAAATCAAGGAAGTGATTGAGCTGCCTGTCAAGCATCCAGAGCTTTTTGAGGCCCTGGGAATTGCCCAGCCCAAGGCAAGCGCTGTTCATGCAGGAATTGTGGGCAGGCTCTGGGTCCCCTGTGTTCCCCAGGTGCCAGTGTGTGTGCAGTGCCAGCTGTGCAGGAAGCAGGGAGTTCTGCTCACTGGGGGCTGCCTTCCAAAACTGAGCAGTGATGATGTGGCCCTGCCTCTCCTCACAGCCACCCATGTGTGGCTAACCAGGCTTCTGGGCTAGACTGGGAAGGGGCAAGGGAACAGTAGGAGCACTGCAGCCTCTTAGTCCTCTCCACTGTGCACAGTAGACTGCCTGCCAGTCCATGATTCCTTCTGCCCCAGAGAAGGAGGCTTAGTCCAATTGCTTGCTTGAGAGCTGCTGATCCAGGGATGAGATCGATGGGGTTGTCAGCATCTGCAGCTTGGGGCAGCAAGGCTCCCCCCACTGCACACACTCCCACTCATGTGACATAAGCTGGGCTCTCTAGCCCTGCCCTGCTCTAGGAGGCAGGGAGCAGGATATGAGGCCTTGGGAACCCATATCAAAAAGGAGGTGGGTTTCATGCACAAGGTACTGGGTGCCCCTGAGCGTCTGCACAGACACTGGCATGTGCATTATGGGGCACCAGGGCCTTTGCCTGCTACAGTGGTACCAGCGGAAGTGATGGCCCAGAAACCCTAGGCTCCCCACAGTGAGACAGCCTACCACCTCTGCCCTGGGAACCTGGGATGGGCTTATGCTGGCTGCTGCAGCAAGGGCAGTGCCAAGAGGGACAGTGGTATGTGCTCTTGCCTCACCTCTTACGTGGCCAGTAATTTCTCAGAGGAGCGTGGGGCTGCCCAGCGTTCCTTCTGCTGCTGTCTACCCCGAGGGGTCAGTTCAGTGTGGCTGAGTGAGCCTTGCTGGAGGGGCGGGAAGGGGATGTTGCCATGCAGAGCCCTGCCCCTGGACCATGAGCAGTACCCCTGTCTGCAGGCACAAGAATCACAGTCAGCTTTTCAGGGGTCCCTCTCACCTGGTAGCACATGGAGAGCTCCACTAGGAACAGCTCTGGTTGCCGACTTTGCTCCCTTATTTATATGCAGTGGGCACAGCGCACTGCAGGTGAAGCACCCTGCCCTGCCCAAACCTGAGTGCTTTTAAGTTAGTTGTCCAATAGGTGGCACCAAGTGCTGTCATCTGTGCCTGTACCCCAAGCCATGCCACTAGACTCTCTGCTCCTGCCTGGAGGGAGAGCACCCTCTGACCACCCAACGATGGCTGTTGCAGGGCGTGTTGCTGTACGGCCCTCCTGGCACTGGGAAGACTTTGCTTGCCCGGGCTGTGGCTCACCACACTGACTGCACCTTCATCCGTGTCTCAGGCTCCGAGCTGGTACAGAAGTTCATCGGCGAGGGTAGGTGTAAAGGAAGGCAGGGTGACTGCAGTGGGGAGGAGGTTGTGGTAGGGATAGAGACCAAGTCAACAGCTAAGAGCATGTCCATGCTAGGCCCTGGCAAGTACATGAGCTCTGGCACTGCATGGCCTCCTTGGGGCTTGTGTTGCCATTCCACAGAGCCAAGTGAGCCCAAGTATGCATGGTTGTGGCTCAGTTGAATGCCTCCCTCAAGGGCCTGTGCCTAGCTAATGGATGGAAAGATAGTATCCTTGTCCCTCGTACTGCAGTGAGTACTCCCTAGATTGGGCTCACTGGCTGGCTTCGCTGTGAAGGGTGCTGCTGATGCTGGCCAGGAGCTCTCTGGGTTCATAGCTCCATCCCTTAGAGCAGGGGTTCTCAATCCCTGGGCCATGGGTCGGCTGCTGGACCAGAAGTGGCTGTGGACCGGCAAACCACAGCTGCTTCCGCAGGGCCTGCAGCAGTACAGAGTTTGGCCCAGCTCCCCCCCAGGGTTGGGGGTATTCTTACCTGTCTTCCAGACCAATTCTGGCCATGGTCAGCTGTGACTGCTGAGCCATGGTTTGCTGGGCTGCAGCATAAAAACTTTGGGAACCCCTGCCTTAGAGTATCTGCTACCTAACCATGCCCTGCCCTGCTGCAGAGTGTTGAGGGGCCTCTCTCTTGCCCCCAGGTGCACGCATGGTGCGGGAGCTCTTTGTGATGGCCAGAGAGCACGCTCCTTCCATCATCTTCATGGATGAGATCGACTCCATTGGCTCCTCTCGCCTGGAAGGTGGCTCTGGGGGTGACAGCGAGGTGCAGCGCACCATGCTGGAGCTCCTTAACCAGCTTGATGGCTTCGAAGCCACCAAGAACATCAAAGTGAGTGACAGGGCAACACTGGGGAGAGGGGGGAGGCTCTCAGCATCTCTGCCACTGTGTGATGTTGGGCAAGTTGCTTCCCCTGGCTGCACTTCAGCTCCCCAGCCTGTGCCAGAGGCAAGTAGAGGCTTCCATTTCCCTTTCCAGTTCCCATTAATTTGCCCAGGATGAGTAGGAAGCAGGATGCATCCTGACTGGGTGTGAACTGAGGGTGGTGATGACTAAGTGGCACCAGAAGCCTGATATAGCTGGTTCGCAGGATGAGGCTCCCAGGTAGAGGTCAAGTTAGAACCCTGGCAGCATCAGTAACCACTTCTTCCCTTCTAGGTCATTATGGCCACTAACCGGATAGACATCCTGGACTCTGCATTGCTGCGCCCTGGCCGCATTGACAGGAAGATTGAGTTCCCTCCTCCAAATGAAGAGGTAAGGTGGAGCTGGCCCTGGGAGGCAGACACAATGCAACTGGTTGCAGCCTCATTCCCTTTGTTCCTAGGGCCAGACCTATTGGTTTTCCTCCATCTGGGGCCCTATCAGCCTGCAGCTGGGGCTTTCCTCTAGGGGCTGTGGACAAGGCCTGTGGTCAGCTTCTGTAGTGTCAACCCTGAAGGGTGTCTGGGGAAGCCCTCAAACTAGAGTCCAGCTGAGTGACTGGGCTGGCCTGATGGCCATGCTTCCTGGAGCAGTCCTAGCCCCTGCTGGCCCTCACCTATGGCCGGGCCCTCTTTCCCACAGGCTCGCCTAGACATTTTGAAGATCCACTCTCGGAAAATGAACCTAACGCGGGGTATAAACCTCCGTAAAATTGCAGAGCTGATGCCAGGAGCCTCTGGTGCTGAGGTGAAGGTGAGTGCAGCAGGGCTAAAGTTGTCTGGAGTGGGGAGAGGGCTCCTGACACAGGCATTGGTTGGGATGGGCACATTGAGTGGAGCAGCAGTTTCTCCTGAATGCACAGGGTCTCCCTGAGCTCCTTGCAATGGGAATGTTACCAGCCTGACTCCTGCAGCAGGTTTGGTTTGAACCCTGCTGTCAAGTTTTTAGTTAGCCTCTCAAGTCTGGAAGTGCCTGCAGCTGGGGAATGTCCATCAGATGCATGGGATATGTCACCAGCTGACAATCCAGCTGAGAGCCATTCTGCTCAGGACAACTAGCTGCAGTGTGGGTGAAGACAGCAGCTGCAGGGAGCAGTACAGAACAGGGAGTGATTCTCTCTTGTCCTTTTGCAGGGTGTGTGCACAGAAGCTGGTATGTATGCACTGAGGGAGAGAAGGGTGCATGTTACACAAGAAGACTTTGAAATGGCTGTAGCCAAGGTAAGCCCCTCCTATTGTTCCTTCCTGTGTGGCTTTGCTAGGCCAGAGCATCAGACTGCTTTGAAAGAACAAAACATACAAGTCTGTGATGCAGTAAGAACTCAACCAGTTGGCACCTCATGGGCACTGGAAGGAGTGGGTGGCTTACTGCTGACCCATTTTATTAAAACAGTCCAGTGTTGGATGGACACGTGCACGTGCACACAGCTACCCCTTTCCCCCCATCTCTGAAAGGTGGTGGCAGTTTATAGGTGGATGACACAATTGATTGGGTTCCTGTAAAACTGCCAGAGATCAAAACTGTTCTCCTTGCAGGGAGAGGAGAGGAGCAAGAGGGAACACACTCAAAGGATGCTGATAAACGTGCCCCATTGCATGGAGGCAGTAGTGTTAATGTACCTGTATGCTGGGCTAGAATAGGGACACCCACAATGAAATGACCACAGCAAGCCTTAGAGAAGTGTCTTCACATTAGAGGTCCACTGATGCACTGATCCAATATCGGACTGGCATCGATACAAAGAAAAATTTCTGTATCATAAATCCGCCTAATGCAGATTAGGTTTTTTGGTTGTTTTTGTTTGTTTGGTTTTTTTTGAATTTGTCCAATAAATGCCCATGCATGCGCCCTGGCTGGTCAGCCCTAACCCCATTCCCTCCCTCACTGCCAGGGCCTTGATCTGCCCCCCAACCAGACTTAACCAGCTGAATGCTACTCTCCAAGCTGAAGCATTGTGTATCAGAAGTCGAATTAGTATCTGCCGATACGCCCCCTTTTTATCAGCTATTGCTATCGGCCCCAAAAATCTCTATCTGTGCACCCCTACTTCACGCTATGCCATTACCCCACAGGCTGTTAGGATGTCGGCTAGGTAGTCATACCTACAGCCTCTAGCCTTTTTGCTTCAGGCATAAGCTGACTTTCATGTCCCATTCCCAAATGCTACTGCTGAAAGTGCCCAAATGGTCTAACAGGGCTCCAGGTTCAGCTGGATAATGCTGCTCATCTCCCAAGTAGGGATTGTGTCCACAGAGCTGCAACTTCTCTGTGAAAGGTGAGAACAGGTGAAGCCTTGTGGGATAACTTCATTCCTTGTTCTAAAGTCCATCTGCTTCCCTGGCTTTGAATGCGTGGAGGCAGTAAAAAGGCACATTGGATTGTGATGTGTAGGTAGTGTAGCCCAACTCATGAGAGCTACTGCAGCAAGGAATGCACAAGCTCCAGGGAAAGAGGCCTGTCTTCTCAGGTAGCTAAAGGGAATGTGACTTCCCTTAGTAAGCTTGGAGACAACCAGTGAGATCTAACCTTTGCCTCCTTGCTCCCAGGTGATGCAGAAGGACAGCGAAAAGAACATGTCTATCAAAAAGCTGTGGAAGTGAAGAGGACTGAGCCCTGTTGGCCCAAAAGTGTTGTTGCTGCTTTCCTGGTTTGTTTCTTGCTCAAATTTCATTAATAAACCTCTGTGATGTCCAAGTTGTGCCTTGCAGACTGTAGAAGGTAACTAGCTAGCAAGGATTAGGATTACAGTAGGGCACTGATCCTGTCAGCAGGAGGGAACTAACACAAAGTTGGTTTCTGTCAGCAAGAAACCTCCCTTGTAGCCTTAAGTTACACCCATGTGACAGTTCTTGGTAGCTTTGGAACACACCAGCATGGTCCATTTGATAACTGACATCTGTGGTTGAGGAAAGAAGTGGCTGCTCACAGGCTTTTCCCCTTGGTAGTGATGGTACCTCAGTTTTGTTTTGTTTAGATTTTTCTAGTTGTTTCCACATGTGCCTAGGGGACACACAACAGTGCTAACATTTTGAAGCCTGCCACACAAACAGGCCCTGGGCAGGATTGGCTGCAGGCCCCAAAGTGCTGACTAAGTCTTATCCAAAGGATGTTATGGCACCCTCAGGCCTGCATGGGAGCTTGGAGGACTGACTCCTGTTGCAAGCCAGCAGGGTTACAGATCAGAACAGCCTGCTGCTTGCATGGGCTCTTCTGTCTGCAGGACTGTGTTAGGTTCTTACTCAAGGAAGTAGTTGTACTCCCCACCCAGGGCCCAGCTGCTGGTTAGGGGCATGCAGGACACCAACAGACACCAATTGCTGCAAAGTGTTTTTATTAGAAAATATTCAAACAGACACATGGTTACACAACAGCAAGAGCAGGCACCCCTGAGCCTTCCCCATGGTGAGCATGTAAACACCCCACCCTCTGCCTACCTCTACTCTGCAATGAAGGGCAGGGCTACACTGCTTGCACCCATCACACTAGCTACAGCACAGGAAACGGGGAGGCCATGCTCTCCAGCAAGGAGTCATAGTGCAAAGGCAGGAAGCCCTGGGGCCAAATATGCCCATGGCTTTGGCTAGAGTCGGTAAGGCACTTGGGAAAGTCTGGTTCACACTGGCACTCCTTCCATGTGTCCTGATTTACCCTTGCCCAGTGAACTACCCCAGAGCCATGGCTCTGGCTTCCCAACATGCAGCCACAGGATAGATGATACTTACTGCCATGGCCACTGTCATCGGTGTTTGATAGGTATAGACTGCTCCTGCTCCAAAGGGCCCAGGAGCAGCACACAGGGCTGAAACCAGCACTGCTTCCCCCTGCCACTGCTCAGACTCCTGAGGGCATAGCAGCACCTCCCCCATGACATACCTCATATAGATCACAAAGACAGGTTGCAATAGGTAAAAAACAGCAGGGGGCGGGGGGAATAATGCAGCTGATTGTCAAAGACTCAGGCCAAAAAGCTCAGTTACCTACAAAAAGGCGTCTACAAGGGGCCTGAGCAAACCCTTCCCAAGAACAAAAAGGGACCCCACTGCATAGATCTCCATTTGAGTGCAGTACTAGAGAGGAACTCTAATATATTAATCAAATACAAACCCGCTGTACAAAAGGCTTCCTTTTTATAAAACCTGTTCACAAAAATAGTGCAAAACCATGGGGGCCAGACAGGCCGGCCTTTTGGAATGGACAAAACTTTGGTTGAGGAATGACAGGCAGGCTCATGCCTCTGCAGGACATGGGAGCAGCTGGGACAGGGACCCAGGGGAGGGAACTGCAGAAAGCAAACAGTGCCCTCTCCCAGCTGGTGCCAGAGCAGGCTAGGCTGCTGGCAGCAGTGTTGCACAAAGCAAGCTCTGTAGCCAGAGTGTTTGGAACTAGTCACTAGAGACGCACAGCCAGGACAGTTCGTACCCATCATTCAGCAGCTCCGCCAGGGCTCTGACCCAAGCTGGGAGAGTTCCAAGCCGCCTTCCCTGGGGAAGGGAGTGAGCCTGCAATGTTGTTTGGACAGAAGACTGCACTGAACACTGGGGGGAGGAGCAAACAGCACACTGCAGAAAGCTAGCAATACCAATGCAAGAGGGGCTGAAATAAAGAATGGCTAAGAGAGACAAGGCAGAGCCTGCCTGGGTCCCACAGGACCCAAACACACCCCTTTCTGCCTTTGGCTACAGCTTCCTGCCCAAGAGGGGGCCCTGTGGTGCTGGAGAGCCTCTCGGGGTGCTAGTGGCTCAGCCCCCAGTCGCAGGCTTTGTGCAAGTGCTGTATTTGATTCCAGTAAGAAGTACCGTAAGGCTCAGGTGTTGGAAGAGAGGGGAAGAGGAGAGCCCCTGAGCCACAGCCAGCCCACTAGGTGAGACGAATCCCCAGCACTTGTTCCAGTTCTTGTCTACGCTGCTGCACCTGAAAGAGAAGAGGGTAGCATGAGGTTGGTCAGGCTGGCTGGGGCCTGGGGAAACACCTCCACCTGCCTGCCAGGTGCTAGAGGGGCATGTACTCTGTCGCCTTGGGACAGATCAGCAACCTACAGCCTGCAGGGTAGATTGGGCTCACAGATGCAGGGCTTCAGCTGTGGGCACTCCCAGTTCTGCAGGGACAAGCACCAGCAGCACTGAGGTCCTAGTGCCCATCCAACAGCCTGACCCCCAGCCAGAAAGGCTGTCTACCCCTGCTCTCTCTCCACCTTCAAGAGTCTCTGTCCTGACTAAGATGGCTTGAGCCTCAACCAAGCCCACAATCAACACCCTGAAAGGTTTGGGCAGAGGGGACTCAGTGAAGATAACTGAAAAAATTCCAGTTGCTGGGAAGGAGAAGGGGACAATCCCAGCCTTGCCAGAGATGCTAGATGGCCTCTGCCTGATGCCCAGAGCCTTGCATTGCCCACTCCATCCCCCTGGCCCTCACAGCATGGGTTGAATATCTGTACCTGCAGCTGGGCCAAACCTGTGTGGCTGAAGTCAGTTCCACATCCACCTAGTGAGTATAACCTAGATCACACACCCTGCAGACAGGGAAGCTAAGAACAGCCACAGAGTTCCTAGAGCTGTCTACCCTTCCAGCCTGAGGGGCAGGCAGGGATGGAAGCCCCCTCAATCAGCTGTGCTTGGGGACAGGGTGTTGGTTTCGGGAAGACGTGGGCTGCTCAGGAAGGAGGAATGCTGTTTTTTTAGGAAGCAAGCCAAACTCCCAGACATAAGCCTGGCAGGGCCCTCCTGGATCACTGAGTCCCATCCCCTATGACTGCAGGCAACACACCATTATAATCCTGTCCAAAAACAGATCAAGCTTCATCTTAAAAACCTGATAGGTTGGCCTGATCCCCATTTACTTCTGTTGGGAGGCTGTTTCAGATGGATGGACACCTCCCTCCTGCTTCCAACCTAAACAAGTCCCTCAGTCCCACTTGTCAACAGCTCTCTGTCCCTGGAGTTCAACCCCCACAGATGTGATAAAAGAGGATGACTGCATCCCTGCACCTCAGCCCTTGCTTTTTTGTAAAGCTAAACAAACCCAGCTCTTTGAGCCTCTTCTCTTGAGACAGGCTCTCTGCTTCCCCACTGGTCCTCGGGGCCCTTCTCTGCACCTGTTCCAGTTTCTATCTATCTGGAGCACAACCAGAACTTCCATAGTTCCAGGTCTCAGAAGTGCACTCAGACTTCCCTGTTCCTACTGGAAGTGCCCTCTCCACAGTCATTTCACATAGGAGCATGCTGTTGAAACCTGAGCACCGACTTTTGTGGCCAAAATTATAAAGAAGTCAGGTTCCAACCTCAAACCTGAAGGAGCTGCTCTGATCACCTCCCTTCAGCATCACCCATAGTCTCCTCAGCCAATGCTTTCCCATCAGTGCACCAATACCCAGCTCATCAGTTTCCCAAGCAGTACTGCAAGTCCTGTCCTACGTCCAGATCACTTTGATCTAATACATTTCTCCTGGTCTACAAAGGAGGTATTTTATCAGGGTTCAACACCGGGTTCCAAACCCCCCCAAGCTGGCTCCATTCCAAAGCAGTCACTACCCAGGACTGTGCCGGCAGCAGGGAGTTCCTGGCTCCTAATCACCCTCACACAGGAGGCTGCAGCAGGCACAGAGTGGGAAGGGGCTGCACCCCCATGTTCTGGGACTCACCTGGGGGGAGGGGAAAAAAGAAGGAATGAAGGGCCAGGCCCAGCCAGTTGGTCAGTGGCCAGCCCCACAGGGTTCCTCACCTTGGCAAAGATGTGCCGGCCCACAGCTTCCTGTGCCCAGGGCTGCTGGTAGAACTCCGCTCGTCTCTCCTCCTCCGGGTTCCCAATCACATCCGTAATGATCTAGCACAGCAGCGTGGGGGGAGGGGGGAGTCAGTGGGAAGCAGATTCCTGCTTTCACAAACCCCAGCTCCCATCCCGAGCAAAACCCCCCTCCAATCCTGGCAAAGCAGCACCACATGCAGGGATGCTCCCAAGGCAAGTCCTGCGCCAGCTGCTGCTGGACTCGGCACTGTGCTATGAGTTCAGGATCTGCAGCTCCACAGTGACCACAAAGAGCTGCTCTGGGCCTGCCCCAGCCCTGCCAGCTGTTCACACTGCACCAGTCCCTTCTGGAGCTGGTGTGTCTAGGGCCCTGCCCCACAAGCCAGTGCAGTCCCCAACTCTCCCTAGCCAACCTCTTACCAGGGCCCCAAATTCACCTTGAGATCCCTCCTCTGGGATTTGATCCATTCCTGAATGAAGTCCTGCGGGTTGTTGCTGAAGCTCAGCATGAAATCTCGCTGCGTCTTCAGCTGGTTAATGGATTCAATGGTCTCGTGGATCTACCAAGAGTAGCTGAGTTAGATGGAGCTGCCTAGCGAAGACCTGGGGCAGGGCTGGTTCTGGTCAGGCAGAGAGTCAGGACCATCTTAGGGTGCCAAATCTGGTCCTTCCATAGCATGGGGGAGAGGATGTCCCAGGGGAAGGAGCAGCCCTCTTCTAGCTGGGCTGGCCTGGGGTTTGGCAGCAGGAGGAAGCCAGCTACCAGCTGCCTGATAGGGCTCAGCCTGCCAGCCTGAAACTAGACTGATGTTAGTGGGCACAACACAGAGAAACATGCACAGACCATGGGGCACCCTACTGGCTCCTTTTTCTGGAGGGGTACATTGACATCAGCCCCTGTGAGCACCCCTCGCAGTCACTCCCTGCCCACCCTTTCTCCCCTACACCCCAGGCTCAGAGGTACTACAGTACACAGTACCTTCGGGAAAGAGTTGGCATTTGACTAACAGCTCAGCCAGTGTGCCAGGATCCTAGCTACTAAGGCAGGGAGAGGGCACTGGCACTGTCTGCCCTAGCAGGATTTTGTCTCCCCGATTGGCAGGGCAAGAGCTGGGCAGCACAAAGACACCCCAAACCTTGGCATCCAGGGAGGCAATTTCCTGCTGGTTGGTGGTGGAGGCCAGGAAGTTGCTCATCTGGGCTTTCAGAGGGTCATCGACTTCAACGTCTATGTCGTAGCAGGCAGTCTTCTTCTGGTCACTTGGATCCACACTGGCGAGGCACAGACCAAGTCACTGGGGGAATGCCTGGGACAGCCAGCCATGGAGCTGGGCAGATGGTCACAGGCAGCCCCCAATTCCCACCTACCCCAGAGGGAAAACTAGCTTCCTCACAAACCTCAGCCTCACTGATATCGCAGCAAGATGCCCCAACTTGTTCCACATTCTGTGGGTCACCACTGTGGGCAATGTCAGCTCCCACTGCCCTTGGGACCCACACCCTTGAGGTGAGAAGCCCATTTTCCTGAACCAGACTTCATAGGTTCCTGCCTCCAGGTCCAGAGCCATCCAACCCTGTCTATTCCTGCACCCTGGGTTTAGGGCCTGTCCAGCCACAGCGCACAGAAAAAGCGCAGCCCAGAAACAAACTGCTTTCTGTCAAGCTCCTCAGGAAAGCATTTCTAGAGCTGGGGGTGGGGAGGGATGAAGGCCCCAGAGCTGAGCTCCCTGTTCCTGCTCCAGTGGCAGCCTCCCTGCCACAGCCCAATGAGGATGCCCAGCTGTGCCGCACCTGATGGTGTGGTTGATGATGATGGGATCGGGATGTTGCAGCAGCCCTGCCAGCTTCATGGGGATCTCGGAGAATCGCATGCGGATGCAGTTGAAGATCTAGCCGGGAACAAACCACAGCGTTGGCAGCATCTGGGGCAAGGGATCTTTTGGAAGCACCCAAAGGAGTAGGGCTCAGAGGCACTGCCTAGCAGCCAGCAGGATGGGCTTGTGGGGGATGGGAATAGCTGCCAATACAGGCCAAGGATTAGTGACCCATCTCTGGCTGGTAGAAATGCTGTCAGAACTGCTGATGAGGAATGGGGCATGTGGAGGAGCAGCTGGTGTAAGGGGCAGACAGCCCCTTGACAATCTTGGCCCCAGAGCCGTGCTGCAGCACCAATGGGCATGTCTCAGAAAGGCCCTTCCCCCTTGTCCCACACTAGGCCCTGCAGGGAACCAGGAAGGTGGCAGGCTTTCCCAGCACATCAGGGACCAAGGCACCCATACTGACAAAGACAGCAGCCCTGCCCAGTAGCATGGCAGCAGGAACAGACAAGGGGGCAGGGGCTAACCTGGCGGAAGTAGCGGTTGCAGTTGATGTACTCCTTCTCATGACTGTCCTGCAGCTTGTTGTGTTTGATGTAGAGCCACAGCGCCTGCATGATGTTGGCCCGGGTCTGGGTGTGGACGCCCAGCAGGCGAGCCAGGCGAGGGTCCAGTTTGTACTGCGGTGGCTGCAAGACAGTGTCCCCATTAGAAATGCCTGTGGGGCCAGCACTCCCCTTCCTCACAAGGGCCTTGAATCTACTGGGATTTCTTCTGCGGGACCTGGTACCTGTGCGTCCCTGGGTAGACCACAGAGAAATCCTGCACAAACTAAGGAAAAGGAACTCTCTGCCTGCCCCACATGGCAGGTGTACTGTGCACCTTTGCTGGGGCCCCCTTCCCCTCCAGCTCCAAGACAAGTAGCCAGGAGATACTGAGGGCTGACTATCTGCTGCTCTGCTTTCTCCTGGGCTCAATACCCAGCAGCACCGGGCCACTATCTGTTGCTGAAGGGAAAGGACTTTTCCCAGGATCATCCTCCCTTGAGTCAGGCCAACAAAGCCAACAAAGTGCTACCACCCTACTCCCCGCCCCCCCCTACAGTGCTGGGAAGGGGAGGAGAGAGAAGAGAGGCAGCACCCTGCATCCTTGACTCCCATGGAGCCTTACCTGGTGGTCCAGCATAAGCAGCAGGGTGCATTTCACATTGACATCACCAGGGCGTTTGACCTGGAAGCCATCTGTCTCCTGGGTTGTGGGCATCCTGTGCCACTGCAGGAACCAACAAGACAAAGCCGGTTGCTGCCATGCCCACAAGAGGGCACTTCACCCCAGTTATTTACCCTTTGTGAGCCCTGTCAGCAGTTTGAAGCCTCACCCTGAAGGGGGGGGGGGGGCAGCTAAGAGTGCACTGGTGCCAAAACTGTTCCCCAACCCTTCTTCTGCTCCCTCTGTCAATCCTGGGAATAAAAGGATTAAACAGAGGGTGCTCACTCTGATGGACAGTGGCAGAGCTGCCATCCTTTGCTGCTGGGCGTCTCCCAGGTGGGGGGCAAGGGGGAGAAGAGCCATGCCACTGCCACCACCCTTGGCCACAGCCAACAACCACCACAGAGAAACAAAACAAAGCCATCACGGAGCCTGGAGAGAGCACTGGCAAGTCCTTGCAGTGAGGATCCAACATGGCCCGCACCCATATGATAAGCTGCCTCCCATTCTCACACTGAACTATCCCCAGCAAGACCTGCTAGTGCATAATGAAAGCCAGGGGCCAAGCACCTGCAGGGAAGATTCAGCTGAGCTTATATCCCAATCCACAGCTCCACTACTCCTGAGCCACCCACAGGGCCAGCCCCAGCTCCAGGGATCCCTGAGGTTACAGAGCAGAGACCCACTTCAGGAGGTACACAGGACAACCCACTGCCTCAGCCCCACCTGCTGAGACACCTCACCTCCACCAGATGGTTGTCTGGTCCATAGAGCTCCTTGTCCAGCTCAATGACAAGGCTCTTGAAAAAGGAGGAAAACTTCCTCTTCTGCTTGCTTGGCTGAAAGACACAAGCCAGTGTGGGCCTCAACCACCCCCTTTCCAGCCCCAGTGGCCCTGGGGGTGTAGTGCCAGGCAGGGAGGAGCACAGAAACCCTGTGACAGAGCCCCCACCCACAGCGCAGGGGCATGACCTGCAGGTGGCACTGAACCCAGCTGCTTGGGGGATTCTCGAGGGCTCAGCGCAGCAGACCAGTTGGTGCTGTGGGGCGCCATAGTACAGACACATGCCAGACCTGGGCAGGCTCAAAGGACTCTCGGGGTACAGGGAGAGGCAGGGAGGAACTCAACGACACTGGAGGCCTGCTTGGGTTGTTGGCTAGGGAATACTTTGATGGCATATGAGGGAGGGAGACTATACAACCAGGCAAAGTGCTCCGGGTCCCACTTTGGGATAGTGCAGGAGCCTGCTGGCATTTGAGACCAGGGGCTGTGCAGTAATTCTACACAGCCTCGCAGCCCAGCACAGAGGACTGTAGGAACAAGAGCATATGAGCCAACACAGAGTCCATGCAATACTAGCTTTGCTCTCCAGCTAGCAAAGGTAAACCATGGGCTGGGAGAGGGATATGAGCTGGCCACCTGCGTGAAGTAGGGATGGGTGGTGGGTGGGCAGAAGCGGGCACAGCACAGCTCCCCCACGTGCTCAGCTGGAGAAAAGGAACTTGTTGCCATGGCCCCACTGGGTAGCACCAGACAGCATGGAGTACAAACACAGGTGCATGTAAGGGCATCTCTGCCCACATCCTTACATCCTCCAGGAGTTTGCCTTCCACACGCAGCTCCCAGGAGGCCACACGCTCCCCGCCATCCCCCTCTTCCTTGGCCGGGCTGAAGGTGTTGGATATGTAAATACGCAGCTTCCGCTTTTGCTGTGAAGGAAAGAGAGAGAGAGAAATACAGGGACACTCAGATCTGGCAGCGAGCTGACAATGCCCCAACCAGGCTTTCCTGCTCTTGAGAGTCCTGGATGCTGAGCACCTCTGCCCACCCAAGCCAACTGGGGCCGTCCAGGCAACAGCTTCCTTCCCAGGGATGATGCCTCATACCGTCAGGGGCTTTTTGATGGCCTCCTGGATTTCCATCCTTTTCCTGGCAATGGTCTGGTCCAGCTTGCGCTCAAAGGCCAGGAGGTCCATGTAGGCCTGAGATTCTGGGACAAGCTCCCGGATCTACCAGACAGAGAACCAGTTACAGAGCACCCCCACCCCACCAGGGGCATCCATCACACTAAGTCCTGCACCATTTCTACCATTTCCACACACATCCCCCCAGTCACAAATGACTAAACTCTGCACCCTGAACTCACCAGATGGTCCCTGGCAAAGGGAAGCCCAGCTCACCCCACCTGGCAAAGTGTGGATCCTAGAGCACTGCAAAGCTGTCCCTTGCAGAGAACACTGCTTTCATGCTCAAACCCTGCAGCTGAAGGCCTGGCCTTTCATTCCTTCTCTTTCCCCTCTTCCCAGGTGAGTCCCAGAACATGAGGGTGCAGCCCCTTCCCACTCTGTGCCTGCTGCAGCCTCCTCTGTGAGGGTGATTAGGAGCCAAGAACTCCCTGCTGCCAGCACAGTCCTGGGTGGTGACTACTAAGCAGCCAGCTCAAGGATGACCAACCTCACCTCTAGGGCTGTGACATGGCACATCATGAAAGTCAAAGGCTCAGCACAAGAGCACTGCTCCAGAGGTCCCCTAGAATCCAAGGCACCATCACTTCTTCCCCTTCCATGCTGGGATCGTCTGCCCCCACTAGCTACATAAAGGATCTCATCTTCCCTCATCCCCAACATCACTGAGGAGGGCTCTAAACCCCAGGGATCTTTCTACCCCTACCCAGGGGAGGGAGATGGTCCCTTTTCATCCCTTTCTTAGTGCCCTGTCCACTGACATCAGTGCACCCTAGCCTGGGGCTGGCGCCCACACTCTTTGCCTGGTTCATCATCAGGAAGGCAGCACTTACCCTCTGTGGTAAGACTTTGTCAGCCATCTTCCTCCTTTTCACCCTGCAAAAAGCACATAGGCCAGTAGGAGCTGAGTGAGAGCCATGAGGACATGAGATAACGTGCATCCTGCTGCCTGTCTGAAAAGTAAGGAACCTGCCTTACTGCCCAGGCTCAGATGCTGGTCCAGCCCATGGAGCTGGGACGTGCCAGGCACCTTACAGGCCAATTGAACAAAGAAGCTTTCCCTAATTTGCTGGTCAGTAGGGCCTCACACAGACATCCAGTTTCTCCAGAGTGTTGCTGCTTTCCCAAGAGAAACCACAAGCATACAGATATTCATGCTTTTTCTCCCACAGTAAAAATGGCCACCTGGGAATACTGAGGGTTAAACTACTCCCAGGAGAGTTTCTCTTGAGGGGGTGGGGGGGAGAGAATGTCTGTATATCCAAATGGTAACCAGTCCTGGACCCCAGACACCAGGAGATGCTGTGCATTAGGTAGACAAGTCACCTACCTGGGACTGTGACCAGGAGGTCCTCACCCCCACTCCAGACACAAATAATACATAAGAGCTTAGGACCCAGCCCAGAGTGTCTACCAGGAGGGCAGGCAGTGTATCTTAGAAACCAGGACAGTGAGGATTCATAGGTTCTCTTCTGCAGACACGCTAACTTCTCCTGTGACCTTGGGCAAGATGCTTCCTACCCTGTTGTGCCTCAGGTTTCCCCACCTGATAATGTCCACCCTTATGCTTTTCCATTGGGTCCTTAAAGCTGGAAATGGTAAACAGTTCTTAGAGCAGCAAATCCCGTCCTGGGACTGTTGTAATTTAACAGTCCTGGCAGGGTCAATATCCCAACTCCCAGCTGTGATTCCAGGTATGAAGTCTGAGCCACAATGCCCCATCCCCAAACAAAACCCCTTGCTCAGAGATCTCTCAGGCCTGCCAGGGCAGGCAGCAATCACAGCACGGGTGAGGCTAAGACAAGAACTCCAGGGTAACTGCAGGAGCTGCAGAACTGCCTGGATCAGCCTCATCTCCCAACTCACCCCATGCTCTTGCTCACCTCATCTGCACCAGGCCACTGCATGTGAGGTCTGCAAAAGCAGGTTCTCCCTGGCACTGGAGGCCTGTGACTCCTTTCTGTACTGTCACACCTGCACACATGGTGACTCCCACTTGCAGTGTGTGGTGCAGGCACAAAACCACCCAAAGACCTAAGGGTCATGGCAACTCTTGAGAATGCTGGCAGCCTCCTTGCCTTCCCCAAATCCTGCTGCAAATCCATCCCTGGCTGACAGCAAGGAAACAAACCAAACCAGCTCCATAGTTTCAAAGCTGTGCTGCTTTTGAGACAGAACAGCCAGAGAGGAGGAGAAACCATCCCTTCTTCCTGAGAAGCGTCTTGTCCACAGCCCTCCCAGATACTTGCCCACATCACTGCACCTGGCATGTAGCCCATGAGAGACTTCAGACAGACTGGGTCTATCGGAGCAGAGATTGAGACCTTCACTACCCAAAGAGCTTGGTCTGTCCACACAAAGATCCCTTCTGCATGCACTGCAGGAGCGCTGTGGAAGGACTCCAGCATCTTGTGTCGTCCTAGCAAAGCTGGAGGCTTCTGCTAAAGCAGCTGGCACTCAAGCACTGGCGACACATAGGGGGTGCACGCAAGCACATGTGCACCCCTTAAGCGTGGCGGTGCACCCCCTATGAAAAGGCACCGCCAACACAGTCAGTGGTGCCTGTGGCCAGTCGTCACTCGCCCCCCTGCCCTCCACCACCAACAGTGTCTGCAGGCAGTCAGTGATCTCACCACCCCCTGCCACCACTGGTAGCATCTGCAGGCAGTCAGTGATCACCACTGGCTGCTGTCAATGCTGCCAGCAGCGTCTGTGGGTGGTTGCCCACCCCTGGTCAGCGCTCACTGCCAGTGGCTTCTGTGGGAGCTCCACACTTACCGCAGCTGTGCTCCCACTGCTGCTGTGCCCCCCCAGTCGCTGGAGGCATGTGTTGTTCATGCACTCAAGTGGCTGTTGTGGACGCTCTGGTACTCCTAAAAGCTTCCAGCACCCATGCCGTGCCATCCCAAGACTGTGCCAACAGTCACTGAGGGCATCTCACACAGGAACCTGGGAGGCCAAAGGTCTGAAACTACTGCTCATGCAAGCTTAAATGTTTCTCTGGAAAAGGGGGCAGGGCACTGACCAACACTCACAGGTCTTTGGAGGTGGGGTTTCTTCTGTTCCATTGAAAAGGCAGCTGGAACCCAGGCCAAGAACATGTTGGCTTGTGGCTGAAGGTGCAGGTTTGCCCAACAGCCCTCAGGTGGCTGAGAAGGGAGCTATACCAGTCCAGCACAAGACCCAGCCATACCACAACTAAAGCTATGGATGGAATGAAGCTGGAAGCCCTGCAGGATCACATCTTGCTCCAGGGGAGGGATCCCTCACTTGGCACAGGCCAGCCGCCTCCCTCCCCTTCCCCAGTGATCAGAATTCCAGCTCTGCTCAGGAATGTCGCGCAGATGCACAGGCCCAGCGATTCCCCTGAGCAAGCCTCTCCC